GAAATTTCTAAAACAAAAAAACATCAACAATACCAAAATGTTTTCTCTATCCATCTGGCATTTTCAACCTCAACAGAACAGTTCGTGTTACTAAACCCACAACAGTACAATCAGTCTGTATATGCAGTGACGCATGCTTGTTATACTCACTGTGGAACCTAAGGGGTTAATCCTCTGCATTGTGTATACAGGCCGTTTGATCCTGTTTTCTCTGCCCCTCCTCTTGTTCAAATGTCCACCTGATAAGACAGACTGAACCCGTAGCCACATGCACATGCTCAGTTTAGTGTGTATTGCTATAAAGGTTTAATTTTTTTCTTGGGAGAGTGCATGTGATCAGCACAGGGCCAATCAGCACTGTCCAGACAGAGGTCAAGGGTTGACAGGCGTTTCTATGCATGGGTTTGAGGCATTTTATAGGCGTTTTCCAAGTGTTAAAACCACTCAACAAACACCTATAATGAAGTTAATGGTATGAATGCCCAGCAAATGCCTGCCAGGCGTTTGAGGAGCGTCACCACATATTTGAATGGGAGGCACTGAAAGGCTTCAACTCCTCCTAACTCGACATGAGGAATCAATTTTGCTGAGATGCTAACGCTTCAGTGTGAACAGCACCGTATGCTGCCATATGTATAATTTTCATAGGCGTTTGAGGAACGTTAAAAACGCCCCTCAAACGCCTAGAAAACGCCTGCTTACAGAGCGAGTGTGAACTAAGCCTTAGAAGAGACTCTGCAAACAAGCATAAGGAGAGGAGAGAAGCGCCGATCTGAGTTTAGCACAATGAATTTATATCTGACAAGCAACAAATTGCACACTTACAGAAGAAGAAGTAAAAACAGACGCTCATCAAGGAAAGCCGCTATCTGCTGTAGGTACCGCCGTCTGTGGCCGCTGCACGCTGGAAGACACACTGGCCACACCCACTGCTATGTACCTGATGTGCTGACATCCCGCCCAACGCCCACAGAGACTCTGGATCATCCAGAAAGTGCTGGAAGCCACCAGCACCACCGAGGATCCTTCCATCAGTGCGTCTCCCAGTGATATGGAGTGAGGTATGTATACTAAACGGAAGATCTCACTGGTGACATGGATACTGGGGAGTGAGATGTTTGTACTGGAGGGAAGATCTCACTGGTGACATGGATACTGGGGGGTGAGATGTTTGTACTGGAGGGAAGATCTCACTGGTGACATGGATACTGGGGGGTGAGATGTGTTGTACTGGAGGGAAGATCTCACTGGTGACATGGATACTGGGGTGAGATGATACTGGAGGGTTTGTACTGGAGTGAAGATCTCACTGGTGAACATGGATACTGGGGAGTGAGTGTGTGTATACTAAACGGAAGATCTCACTGGTGGGACATGGATACTGGGGAGTGAGATGTGTGTACTGGAGGGAAGATCTCACTGGTGACATGGATACTGGGGAGTGAGATGTGTGTACTGGAGGGAAGATCTCACGGGTAACATGGATACTGGGGCGTGAGATGTGTGTACTGGAGTGAAGATCTCACTGGTGACATGGATACTGGGGAGTGAGATGTATGTACTGGAGTGGAAGATCTCACTGGTGACATGGATACTGGGGAGTGAGATGTGTATACTGGAGGGAAGATCTGACGGGTGAACATGGATACTGGGGCGTGAGATGTGTGTGCTGGAGGGAAGATCTCACTGGTAACATGGATACTGGGGAGTGAGATGTGTGTACTGGAGGGAAGATCTTCCTGGTAACATGGATACTGGGGCGTGAGATGTGTCTACTGGAGGGAAGATCTCACTGGTGACATGGATACTGGGGAGTGAGATGTTTGTACTGGAGGGAAGATCTCACTGGTGGGGACATGGTATACTGGGGGAGTGAGATGTGTATACTGGAGGGAAGATCTCACTGGGTGACATGGATACTGGGGAGTGAGATGCATGTGCTGGAGGGAAGATCTCACGGGTAACATGGATACTGGGGAGTGAGATGTGTGTACTGGAGGGAAGATCTCCCTAATGACATGGATACTGGGGAGTGAGATGTGTATACTGGAGGGAAGATCTTCCTGGTAACATGGATACTGGGGAGTGAGATGTGTGTACTGGAGGGAAGATCTCCCTAATGACATGGATACTGGGGAGTGAGATGTGTATACTGGAGGGAAGATCTTCCTGGTAACATGGATACTGGGGAGTGAGATGTGTATACTGGGAGGTGACATGGATACTGGGGAGTGAGATGCATGTGCTGGAGGGAGATCTCACTGGTGACATGGATACTGGGGAGTGAGATGTGTATACTGGAGGGAAGATCTTCCTGGTAACATGGATACTGGGGAGTGAGATGTGTGTCCTGGAGGGAAGATCTCACTGGTGACATGGATACTGGGGAGTGAGATGTGTATACTGGAGGGAAGATCTCAATGGTGAAATGGATAGGGAGTTAGGTCTGTGTGCCAGGGGTAGATTTCAAGGGTCTTCTATTTGGGTCTTTTAATTCCTTTGTGTACAGTCAATCAATGATATTTAAAAATGTAATTACTATGAATGTAGACAATTCTCACCTTGAAAGAGGTATGCTGCTCCATGTGGCGGAGAAGTTGGGGTTTCTGGACTGCTGTAAACTCACATATAGTACATTTAAACTGTTTCCCTGCAATAAAAGACATTGTAATGAGTTATGTAAGAAGTCACCCCATACCACTATGGGAACAGATACAAAAAGAGTACAGAAACTCCCTTCGCACGCAACAAAACATTTAACAAGACCACACAGCAATAACACGGTGTACAGTGGCACAGCTACAGCTCTTCACTTATCTCCACAATATGTCTACAATATATTTTAACAAATTTAAAGCAGATTTAAAAAACAAAACAAAACAAAAAAAAAAAAAAAAATTAACCACCTCCGGCCTGGGCCAATTCTGACATTTCTATCATACATGTAAAAATTAGCTTTTTTGGCTGGAAAATTACTTAGAACCCCCAAACATTATATATTTTTTCAAACAGAGGCCCAGGAGAATAAAATGTTTTTTGTTGCACAATATATGCACTGCGGTTTATCAAATGTACATTTTGGGGAAAAAATACTCTTTAACCACTTGCCCTCCAGAGGATTTACCCCCCCCCCCCCCCCCACCATCCTGAACAGGCCATTTTTTGCGACACAGCGCTGTATTATTTTAACTGACAATTGCGTGGTCATGTAATGCTGCACCCAAATTAAATTTACGTCCTTTATTTTCCCACAAATAGAGCTTTCTTTCAGTGGTATTTGATCGCCTGTGCAGTTATTTTATGCGCTATAAAAAAAAAAAAAACCAACAATTTTGTGAAAAAAAAGATAATTTAGACTTTGCTATTTAACATATCCAGTAAAAAAAATTTTTAGAAAATCAAATTTCGGCATAAATTTAGACCAAAAATGTATTCTGCGACATGTCTTTGCTAAAAAAAAAATCCCAATACATGTACATTAATTGGTTTATGTGAAAGTTATAGCGTTTACAAATGGCGGTATATATGCTGGGATTTTATTTTTTAAATTTTACTAGCAATGGCAGCAATCAGCGACTTATAGGGGGACTGCAGGACTGCGGCAGGCATTCTGAGACTGGGGGGGAACCGATTTGGTGTTACTGACATCCCCAGTGTCACCAATACAGTGATTAGCGCAAATAAAAAGCACTGACACTGTACTAATGGCACTAGGCAGAAAGCGGTTAACATGTGGGGCGATCAAAGGGTTAACTGTGTGCTGTGTGGCATTTTACATCATGTTCTATGTTTGTGCTTTACAGAGAGAACAATTTTGTTTACATATAGTTCTCCTCCCCAAAGATGCTCGGCAATCACCGAGTGCCGGCGAGTAATCACCGGCCGGGACCCGGTGATTGACAGCCGTGGCTGCGAATAGAGGTGCGGGTAGGGCGCGCGCCCCCCTACTCAGAAATGCAAAATCACATATATATTCGTGATTGTGCGCACCCGTGCGGGAAGCAGTTACTGAATTTTTAATGCACACATGCACAATATAATGCCCAGTTTCTCAGTAAAATATAACAGATGTTACACCTGTAAAAGCAATCCAACAGCTCTACAGCCGCTCAGATCACTTTTACATTTTGTAAGAAAACAGCTGCTGTAAAAAATATCTTGAGCATTGCTGCAACTGCAGCGATGCCAGAGATATCACCCTTCCCATTTGAGGATTTGTATATGTGTACGGTGGACAGGAAACCGTTAAAAAAAAATATTGTAATTTGTTTGAGTATGTGCCAGGCTAAGAGGAAGTTATCGCTAAAATGCATCCTTGAGCCCTTGTGACTGACGGAAGTGGAAGAGCCGAAAGGTGTGAGTGCTGCAGGCCACACTAAGGTCTCTGCTGGCAAATCCCAAGCTTTTTCTCCTTGTGAATGGCCATCAGCATGTCCTTATATGCTGGCTATAGTAAGGTGAGGAATATCGGGACGGGCTTTGTGCTGATATCTTCATCCCCCTCTGACCGTTTGTGAACGGATTTTTCACTCTTTTATTGTAATAAACATTTACTAAACTATCATGTTTTGTGTTCCTCTTACTTTTTCTTTTGCAGTAAAGTTTATTTAACCTCCCTGGCGGTATGATTATTTCATATTTTTTGTGCTGAACGCAGTACCATTATTTTGCATGGAAATATGTAGTTTTTTTATTGTAGGCCTGTAATTTTTAGGAACTCACTGAAATCTGTCTGAACAAGATTCTAAATCATACATTTAATTCAATAATATAATCAAACCAAAAACACTGAAATTTGAAATATAGCGCCAAGTTCGCACATCGCTGAGCAAAGTCGCAAAATCGTTTTCAGTGTCTGATGACGAATTTCCCCACGAATCATTATCACTCAATTTTGCAAGTGGTTCTGATTTACTATCGCTGTTCTCTAGCCGGTCTAAAACCGCTTTTGACCTAAAGGGACGCTTTTTGGACGCCATGGACTTTTCTCAGTTTCCAGGCAGAAAGAACAATCAAAATGCAGACAGGGCGCCGGACAAAGCACTCGGGACAAAATGTATGTGAAATGGTTTGAAACAGCAATGTTTTACTATGTAAAATCGTTTTGCAAAAAATGAAATTTTTTTCAAATTTTCAAATTTCCCACCGCCGCCCGTATGTCCCGACGTAACAGGGGCCGGAACACAGGAGGCGGATGCCGGCATCGGCCGGAGGACATGGCCGGGGACGTTGCAGGGGACACATCGCGGGAGCGAAGGACAAGGTAAGTGCTGCAGGGACTCCCTATACAGGGCTGCATGGTAAGCCCGAGTGTAGCTCGGGTTACCGCTTTTGGTACAGACATTTTACCCCGAGCTACACTCGGGAATACCGCTAAGGAGGTTAAACACCAACAAAATTCTACTTCTATTTGCTCTTTTTTTGGGTTTGTTAGGCTACATGCACACGGGACGTTTTGATAACGCTGGTAACGTTAGCAGTGTAAAGTCATGTTAAAACGGTAGTTTTTCTGCATTTTTTAGCGTTTTTGCATTAGCATTTAGCGGCGATTTTCTGCGTTAGCGGTTTTTAGTAATTTTTTTTTTTTGGTAAAAAAAAACGTCCAAAAAACACCAGTTTGCAGCCTTTTACCATGATTTGCCGTGTTTTTTACACCTAAACAACTCCTCTGGAAACCCACTTGTCCTGGGGTTTTTCCCAGCCAAAAAACGTCCCTGACAAAAAAAACGTTGCTTACAGTCTATGTGTATGGACACATAGGATAACATGCTGGGGTGTTTACTGGCTGTAGAAAAAAACGTCAAAAGCTAAAAACAGCTGCTGTAAATTATTCCGTGTGCATGAGGACTAAAAAGTACCACTGAAAGTGTCTCGCTATACGTCTGTTTGATGTCTGCCAGTAAACTCAGCAATTTCATGTACTAAACACAGAGCTTATGCTGTAAATCATAAGGAGTCCTCTCAGCCATGACCAGCCAACCTCTGAACTACAAAACACCTCCGCCGTCCGCATACCTTTCTGCCAGGTGCTGATGTCTTAATTAGATTGGTTGCTATTTCAGATAGAGAGAGAGAGGGGGGGGAGAGAGAGGAGGGGGGGGGAGAGAGGGGGGTAGATAGATGATAGATAGATAGATAGATAGATAGATAGATAGATAGATGGAGAGAAGAGAGGGGAGAGAGGGGGGAGGGAGAGGGAGAGGAGAGAGGGAGGGAGAGGGAGAGGGATAGAGGGAGAGAGGGGGGAGATAGGAGGGATAGATAGAGAGAGGGATAGATAGAGGAGATAAGAGAGAGGGATAGATAGATAGAGAGAGAGGGGGGGATAGAGAGAGAGGGGGAGAGAGAGAGAGAGGGAGGAGAGAGGGGGGGAGAGAGGGGGGGGGGAGAGAGAGAGGGAGGGAGAGAGAGGGGGAGGGAGGGAGAGAGGGAGAGGGGGGGGGAGGGAAGGAGAGGGGAGGGGGGAGAGAGGGGGAGGGGGGAGAGAGGGAGGGGGAGAGGGGGGGAGAGGGAGGGGGGGGAAGGGAGGGGGAGAGGGAGGGGGAGGGGGGGAGGGGGAGAGGGGGGAGGGGGGGAGGGGGAGAGAGGGGAGGGGGAGGGAGGAGAGAGAGAGGGGAGAGAGAGAGGGAGAGGAGAGAGGGAGAGAGATGAGAGGGAGAGGGGAGAGGGGGGGAGAGAGGGGGAGGAGAGGGGAGAGGTGGGAGAGGGGGGAGGGAGGGAGAGAGGGGGGGGAGAGGGGGGGGAGGGAGAGAGGGATAGATAGATAGGGTAGGGATATGAGATAGATAGGATAGGATAGAGGGATAGATAGAGAGAGGGGAGGATAGATAGGATAGTTGAAAAGAGATAGATAGATAGAATGAGGGATATGAGAGAGATAGAGATTAGATAGAGAGAGGGGGGATAGTTATGAGATAGGGATATGAGGAGATATGGATAGAGAGATAGAGAGGGATATATAGATAGATAGATAGATAGATAGATAGATAGATATGAGATAGCTAGATAGATAGATAGATAGATATGAGAGATAGATAGATAGATAGAGATAGATAGATAGATAGATAGATATGAGATAGATAGATGATATAGATAGATAGATAGATAGATAGATAGATAGATAGATTGATAGAGATATTAGATAGATATAAGGAAGGGGGAGTTATACTTACCATCAGCTGTATGGAGGAGTTTGTGGCTCTTTAGGGTCCCTTTGGATTTGAACTTTTTCCCACACATATCACACAGGTGAGTCTTCTCTGTGCTGTGCCGATTCATGTGAGCTTTCAGGTTACTCTTACTGCGGGTGGCATAATCACAAACGCTGCATTTAAATGGCTTCAAACCTGAGGACAAAATACAGGAAGGTACAGTTCATTTCTCAATGCATTCATGGAAGTGTGGGGGTGTTACCTGCCTAAATAGTTGCAAATCATTTGTCTTGTGATTCATTCATTCCCTGATGAAGTCACGTGACCTGTGACGCTACGCGTTGGATGGAAATGTGGTGAAGTGATGTCTGGTGTGCTGCTGGAAGCCACCATTGTACCTCTCTGTTTCCACGCTCTCTGCACTGCACTCCGCTCTCTGCTTATCTGCACTGTGTGAGCCCACAATTTTTTAATTCTCTATTTTACTTCAATAAAACAGGTTTGCACTATGGGAGGTTCTCTGCTTTTTATCCTATGAGCATCTTTGACACAAACTGGTTGAGTTGACCCTCTGGAAGCTACTCTTTTGGCATTTCTACCGAATGCTGCATCAACAGTTGGAGTGACCACGGAGATCATACACAGTGCTATTTTTGACCGGTATAACATGTAGGTCTCTTAGATTGTAAGCTCCTAGGATCAGGCCCTCCTAACCCTTGTATTGAACTGTTTGCTGTATTGTCTCCCTTTAGATTGTAAAGCGCTGAGCAAACTGTTGGGGCTATATAAATCCTGTATAATAATAATAATAATAATAATAGGTAAAAAAAGAGGAGGTGAGCAGGCACGCCTGGTGGTGGATGAGCACCGTAGTGGAAAGATTGTTTTGAAGTCATTTCACTTGGGGACTGAAAATCGCTAGTCATTCGCTATATGGATTAATATTTTTTATTTTTGCACCATCTACTCATGTTTGTACTAGGTTTATTTTTTTGTCTTGAATGTGTTTGATTGTCAGCCAGATGTTCATTGTAATTTGTATGCACGTAGATTAGGGACTTTACCAATAGGAGGGTATTACTTTTGAACATACCAGTACTAATGTTAGATTATTAAATTTTTGTCACAAGTTAGCTTGCAGCCTCTTGTGTGTTTTATCTTACCTCCTTGCTGCTCTTGATTATTATTATTATTATTATACAGTATTTATATAGCGCCAAAGGGTATGCTCAGCGCTGTACAGTAGCAAGGGGGACAGAACATGAGACAATACAGTAACAATACAATACACGAGGGGTTCGAGGGCCCTGTTCTTTCGAGCTTACAATCTAGGAGGGAGGGGAAGGTGGCACAGGAGGAGATGGCTGTGGGGGATGGAGTGGTGGGAGGAGTGGAGGAGGTTAGTTGTTAGGGGAGGTCGGGTGTTAGGTGGGGGTGGGGTAGGCTTCTCTGAAGAGGAGGGTTTTCAGGGTGCGCCTGAAGGTGAGGAGGGTAGGCGACAGTCTGATGGATTGGGGTAGGGAGTTCCAGAGGATGGGGGAAGTCCTGGAGAAGTCCTTCAATCGGGCGTGGGAGGAGGAGGACCAGGAAGCTTGAGAGTAGGAGGTCCTGTGAGGAGCGAAGGGCACGGGTAGGGTAGTATTTGGGTATCAGGTCAGTTATGTAATTCGGGGCGGCGTTGTGAATGGCTTTGTAGGTCAGAGTTAGCAGTTTGAATTTGATGCGTTGGGCAATCGGGAGCCAATGAAGGGATTGGCAGAGGGGGGAGGCAGATGTGGAGCGCTTGGTGAGGTGGATGAGTCTCGCCGCTGAGTTCAGGATAGACTGGAGTGGGGATAGCGTTTGTTTGGGTAGGCAGTGAGAAGGGAATTGCAATAGTCCAGGCGTGAGATGATGAGGGAGTGTAAGAGTTGTTTGGTGGTGTCTGGGGTGAGGAATGTGATTACTCACTTGTGTGTTTTTCTGTGCTCACCAGGGGCGGACTGACCATTCGAGCACTTCCCGAGGGCCCGGGGTGTCAGTAGAGGGCCCCATGAGATGCCCCTGGTACCTTTCATTGGTTTTTTCGTAGGCTTTTTTGGGTGTGGGCGAGGACACAGGGGCCTCATGATCCCCTATTGCCCAGGGACCACATGAGTTGTCAGTCCGACCCTGGTGCTCACCTATGGGCGTCGTCTGCGATTCCCTGGGTTTTATCTCCTTCCCTTCCATCACTTCCTGGGTCGCCTCCTAGCTGGCTTGTCTATATAAGACTAAGACATGCTCAGTCTGTCCCACTTTGCCTGAGCAACGTCTTGTTGTTGGAACTCCCTTGTGTTTCTACTGAGAATCCTTTATAGTCTGTGTACCGACCCCGGCTTCGTTCCTGACATTGCTAGGTTTTCTCTGAGAAATGGGGTTCAGCTCCCGAAACGCGTCAGTGTATCCGCATCAGTAGACACAGATGTACTGTGACTGTCTTTGTGGACCACTTATACTGCTTTTAATCACGTTGGTTTGTGAGTATATATCCTCTTTTTATTCAATAAACACGTGTTCTACCACGGTAATGCACGATGAGAGTGCGCCCTTGTCTGTTCTTTTCCACTAGTGGTCAGATTTCCCGATCTTAGAAGGGCAGCACCTCTTTGGTTGGCATTTTGGCATCTCCTTGGTTGTATGAAGACTGGAGCGCTGGTTTCGTTTGTTTATCTATTGCTAGGTTTTCGCCTGTCCTGACCTCGGCTTGCCTACTGGATTCCCTGTGTCTACTCCCATTGTACCCTGCTCCCTTTAGCGATCTCCTCTACCCTTAGCTGGGTGTACCTGGGGACAGCTACCTGGTCCCAGCCTGCTGCAAGTCCATCCCCACCATCAGGGGCCCTGGTGAACAAGCAGGCTGGGGCTTAGACTTCACGCCCTGGGGAACCCCAAGTTGTGGATCAAAGAGCTCACTACCACAGGTGCTGACAATTTTATTTGACTTTGCACTATATGGGTTTGGTGGTCAGCCAGGTGCTTTTTATGCTGTGTGTCTAATTAGTGTTTTCTATACAGCTGCTCATGCACTATATTCTAAAATAGATTTTTGAGTTTAAAGAGTATTGATGCATGGGTTTGATGTTCAGCAGGGTGTGTGCTGATATACCGTATTCTTCGCTCCATAAGACGCACTTTTTTCCCCCAAAAAAAGGGGGTAAAATGTCAGTGCGTC